GTTCTCATGTGGTTGGTCTTCCTTTAGATTATACCTCTTAATGCAAAGAAATAAACTGTGCGGAATAGCAAAAGAACAGCTTACTTTCAAAGCAAGCATCTATCTGCTATAGCAGGTATCACACAAGCTGTGAAATCAGACCCTTCCTCCTGAGCTTGCAAGATATAAGAGAAACTTGGAAGCAACTGGTTTAATTTTCTGGTCTGCCACATTCACTTGTCACCCTTTATATAGCACAGTGAATTTAAACCAGACAGAGATTTACACTGCAGAACACTTCCTGTGTAGAAGGAATTTTGAGAACTAATGGAGGCCACTCTACAGCTTCCTTTTACAAGCCCTGGCTCCTTAGTCCCACTGTCTGGCATAAGGAGGAGCACAACAGAATAAGACTGTCCTATATTTGACTTTCCACAGACAGAGTACTCCAACTCCCTGAGAAGTCTTCCACTAACCAATTTAAAAATGCCTCCATATTACATTGATCTTTAGTCAATGCTCCATATAGCCTTTGATCATCTGCTACAAGAGGGCAAATCAAAAGGACCCAGTTAGTAGGATGACCATATATCCTGGGCAAACTGGATCAGACCCAGCTTACACAGCCCAGTCCTGACCAGTTGTTCAAAAGTTCTAAGCCAGTCTGGCAGGGAAGCAGAGCAGCATGGTGCCACCAGGCAGGCGGCCGGGCAGGCACTACTGGCTCCTGTGTAGGAGCAAGGCAGGCAGACTGCAGCAGGCATTACCATGTGTGCGTGTAGCATGTCCTTGCTCTTGCACAGAAGCAGCAGTGCTGGCCTGGTGCACCGAGTGTGGCTACCTCAAGACAAATGTTATCCTCAAACATAAGTGTCTAGTATAGGGGTTAGCAATTTATGGCCCACAGACCTCATCTAGCCCATGAAGAGATTGGATCCAGCCCAGGACAGATGGAATGGGGAGGGGACCAGCAGTATACTGTGGCCCAGGCAGAAGAGGGGGCATCTCCAGGGTCCAACCTCCTGTCCTGTTCTATCTATTCCCTCCACAGCACCTGCTGATGTCTCAGCCTTACTCTGATGCCACTGAATTTAACCCTTTTCATTGCCATTGGTTATTTGAATCAGTGGTAAGCATAAGCCTGGGTTACTTGGATGCTCTATAAGGCAGAGCTCTGCCTACTGCAGGGTTCTGGGCTGCAAACAGTGTCTTGCAGTGGCAAAAGGCTGCAGACCACTGGTCTAATAGATTTAAGTGCATAATGAGTTTTTAGACTCTTGGCACAAAGCTAATTAGAATTGCTCTACTGGACTTTGGTACCTAACTTAACTCCTGCCTAAGTTGCACGTAAGTGTCTACTTAAGCTTTAAGTTATAAGTGATAACGCAGCTGTGATTCAGATGTCTACAGCTGATGTCCTATCAGATCATATTCTTAACAGACCCGAACAGAGATTGTGTACTGTGAAGAGTACAGTACACCCAACAAAGTTCTATAAACCCAACAGAGTATGGTAAACCCAACAGAGTTCAGTCCTGCTGAGTTTAAAGATGGTAAAATTTGCTCAGTTTTAATCAGTCATCTCGACAGAATGGTATAGTCATTGGCACTGAAATCCAGGATTATTAGTTCTGATATTTTTTTGATGCAAAGAATACTTACATGCTTGCATCTAATTTGTCAAAGGTCATAGGTGGTAAATTAAACAACAGTGTAAAACTGTGTTTGAACGGACATTATTCTCTTTATATAAAATAAGTCCTGGATAAGGTAGTAATTTCTTCAGTAATAAAATCTATCTTTCATTTAGAGATGCTAAAAATTCAGATTTTTTAATTCCCTTTGATATTTCTATACAATTAAAATATACTGCAACCTAATGTTTTCTAGCAAGGGATTCATTTTGGTCACTAATACAGCATTTATACATCAGGACTATATGGGAAGCATCACGTGTTGATGAATTTTTAATGATCAAGACCAGCAGCAGTGGAGTAATGGGAAATGAATTCAGCTTTACTGTTCTTCAATATTCATCTGAATTGAAAAGGATCTGAATGATTGATAAAACTTAAATATAGTGCAGTCTGGGCTGCATCTAGAAAGCTACCATGTCTTCTTGCCCCATATATCAGTAGATGTACCTCTGAAGAGACTGAATTAATTCATTATAGAAGATATGGGCAAGCATTAAAAAAGAAAACTCATCTTTTTATTTCATGAAAATAACCAAATCTCACAAAATTGTGTCACGATAGCAGAGCAAACCAAAATGCTAGGCAATTGCAATAACAAAAGGATTTTATATTTGCTGGCCACCATTCATTCTATTCATTTAAATGTATCTAGAAATCCAAGCACTTTCTTAAGGCCCAGAAATGCCAAGCTACATCAGCATAAAGTTATTTGCACTGTTCTTTATTTATGAGCAAGAGAGTTCTAAGTTATCATCACATTCTTCTCTTCTAACATGGCTATTTTTTAAAGATGACAAGCTACTTTAAGTAGGGACTGTTTTGTGATGTAAAAGCATTATTAAAATAACACTTTTTAAAATCTTTGGCTCAAAAGATAGATTCATAAACTGTTATATATTATTTTTGGGCACCTAGACCTCACTTAACAAGCTCATCTAATGCAGTTACAGCTGTGCTATGAGTTGCATTACAAAAAAAGCAACACCAACCCAAACTGCATCTTTGCTTACAGATTCAGGAGCCACCTCTCTCTGTGTGAAGCTAATGGACCTTGTATGGATTGCAAAGGTTATGTACTTGGGTTTAGGTTACTAGAAGTGTCAGTCTTGTCAATTAGCTAAAGGAAGAACACTAAGTCAGACATCCTAAGAATAAATAGAATTTAAAAGTGGAAAAGGTAATGCAATCTGTCCTATTGATACAGTTTGTTTCCTGCAGTATGCATCTCAATGCTTTGCCTAATCTGTATTAAAATTACTCAGGATAGCAACTCCTCCCTTTTCATTAAGAAACTTTCCTACAATAAAATAGTCTCCAACTATCATCTATTCGTATTGCAGATTTCTTCAAGCATAAAATATGCTTTTTCATTGATACAGAGCTGAACACCCTGTCAACACTTACATTTAAGAAAGGCATTTAACAATTATTGGTGCTTTTAATTAATTCCTAAAGTAACAAAAATTAGATGTGTTGGCTCCATTTCTACAGAGTGCTATTACTGTAAGTGGTCAGATGTTTTTAAATGTTCATCTTAAAGTAAACTGAACAAAGTAAGAGTGGCAATAGCAGCTGGAGTCATGTTCATGTGTCCAAACAACATTAAAAACAAATGGAAGTTGCAGCACAGCTGGAAAGGAAGTATTTCTAACAAGTAGTCCTTCTGAACTGAAGAACAGTAACAGAAATAAAGAAATTTAAATGTTCTGTAAAGATAGAAAAAACTTTAAGCGCAACAAACTCTTTCTGAAGCCAAAAGCTGTCCTCGCATTTCATAATCTTTAGTGACTCCAGATGTTGACTGATAGCTTTGTTATTATTACCAAGTTTGATTAATAGAATATCTAAATAAATAGAACTTCAAATTTGCTTAAACTGTACTAAACTATAACACATTTTTTGAAATGCTAATATTGCAAAACTGGCTGAAGTATTTAAAAACACACAGACACTGAAGCACCCCTACTTCTAAAAGAGCAAAACTCATAAGTAAACTGTACTTTCCTTAGACCAGAAGTTATTTCCCATATTCCTTCCCTACAACTTCAATTTGATTAGACAAGCCATCTCACATGGCCCGCATAAAACATAGTACTTAAGTACCTCATGATCTTTAATGCAGTAATCCTCACAACAGACTCATAAGGTTGGGAAGAACAATTATCTACCTATACTTGTGTTCTACTAGAGGTTTCTGGAATAGAAACTTAAACTTTATAACATACTTTGGTTAGGAGTAATGAGTTAAGAGTTATTTATTACTACAATTTAGGATCAAACAGCCACCACGACCATGGCAGCTAGCTGTTCTGTTGCTTCTACCACCACAGTGGGGATCCCCACGGCAGCAGCCATTTCTGCCACCTGATCACAGACAGCCTGCACACTGGTCCCCCTTTCCCAGGGGAGAGAGCAGGCTGTCAGATATCAGGCTCACCAACACACTCAGAAGGAGGGGAGCACCCCCTGGTTGGAGAACGCAATTTTGCAGTGATTTGTAGAGTTACAGCCGGGGATTGCCACATGTGTGGACGTAGTACTCTATGTTTGTCATGTTAAAATGCAAATCTGAACATGGTCAAAGCCTACTGTAAAGATTTAAGGAGGTATAAATTTAAACTAGACAGATAAGTAAACCCAAGCTGGGATTCTGCAGTGGAAAACACAAGTCAGCAGATGCCATAAACTAAAATTTTATCTTGGTTACACTGGTGAAATTCTAGCAAGTCAATTCTGCTGTTGGCTGTCCTCCAGTATTTTCAATAAAAGTTGAATAAGTGTGAGGGGGCAAAAATGTCAACTTTTGTCTGTACACTTAAGAGATGAGTAATAAGTGTTGGTTCTTGCAATTCCTGTATTTATCACATTTTTAATGATTTGCAAATTACTGGGTAATTACAATTAATATATTCCAAAGCAGTCATTTATAAATTGCATTGTAATTCAAAAGAAGTAATCATGTACTTTAATTATATTATGCATCTCTTAATGATGTAGTTTATAGTATGTAAATAAATAGCTACCAATTACCATGGGATAAAGAATACTTGCCTGATTCTAGTGTCTTGTTCTGCTAAATATATAATAGGATTAGTATTAAATCTTTTCTACATATACAATTCCTAACAGAGCTACAAAAAAAGTCCTTAAACCAGTGAGAACACTTTACAATGTGTAATTAATGTGACAATTTTTCTTGGGTATTTTCTCTATCATTTCCACAGGAGAATACATACATTTTGTCTTTGAAAGAACCAAACAATTTAGAAATGGCCTCATTGTCAAAAATTAACAAAAGCAGAGTGCACAGATTAAATTGTTTACCTTTTCACCTTGCTCTCCTTTATTACCATCAAGACCACGTTCCCCCTGACATAAAAAAAAAGAATCATGGACACATATTAGTTCAAGAAATTGTTTAAGAAATTGTTTTATTATACATAATTGCCAATGTATGCAATATCTATTGCATTTCATTTGTGTTCTGGGTAAGAAAATAAGACCTAGGAAGATTATGCAAACTGGACCATGCATATATTTTCACAATTTTAAAATATTTGAAATTTACATAGAAAACTGGAATGCCTTGCTATGATTCTGGTAACTATTTTTATTAATCATTTTCTTAGTCATTTTCAAATCTTTCTCAGCTCAAACCTTTGATCTTAAATCTATTCCTCCCAGTTTTCTCATTCTGAAGAATCAGCATTTTATTCTTTTTTATTTAAAAGTATTTATATAAATGTGACCAACTAGGTGTAAAGTTGTTATAGAAATTCATTAATTCAATCAAGAGCAGACTACAGAAAGACTTTTGTTTAGCAGTCAAACAAAAATCTCAGTTACTCAAATGCAAAAGCTCTATTCAATTAATGAATTACTTAGAAAAGCCTGATCAGTGAGACAGCTGGTCTAATACAAGATATCAGATTCATGCAAAGAACCTTGTCTGCCTATGTCCTTAGACCAACACAGCTACAACCTACACCCCTGATCAGTGAGACACCTTTACGGCATATGCTGAATCTAAGTTCAGTTGAATCCAAAAAGGAGAGGATTCCAGATCTGAGGATTCTTCACCAAAGTAGACCTACTATCTTCTGTTCAAATTAGGGAAGATTTGGCTGAAGAGATGGAACACAGCTGTAATCAAAAAAAGTTTTGCACTCTAGCTACATTCAAGAGTGTTGTGGAGCAAACACCAACATCTTTAATTTATCCAGGTATTTACAAATGTAGACACCTATCTATAATGAGAAATGGAATAAAATTATATTAGTTTAGGTACAGATGTGGATAGTTGGTGTTTGCACATGATCCACCTCCCTGAAAGAATAAAGCAGAAGGTGGTCTGTATGCCATCTTTCTTCTTTAGAAACCAGATCTTTTGTCTCTATATCAATACATGAACTCTATAGATCTAATGATTAAGAAACTGGAAATCTTCAACTGCAGCATATGGAATTTCACCAAAGTTACATTTGACATTCCCCATTCTGTTTTTTCAATGTCTCACTTTTCACCTTTTCCCCTTTCACCTTTTGCTGAGTTTCCTTCCCTAATTTAGAAGAGTAAAGTTTAAATGAGGTTAGCTAAAAAAGCATGCAACCAACAGATGAGCTTCCTAACAGTATTTTGCCAAATTGTTCAATTGATACAGTATCATGTGCTACATCTGGGAATCAAGTTCAAAGCTTTGAAATGCACAGATTCATATACCATAAAATAGTTCTGGACTTTCCAGCAGCTGTCTGTGATGACTATGTTCTGCTTAATGTTTTGACTGATGTGGTTGGTGCAGCCAACATCTTAGATATCATTTTTATTAGTGTGCCCAAGAAAAATTCTGTAGAATGAACACCAGGTAAGATACTAGTTCAGTTTTCAGTCAGTTTCCTGAGCAGATACAGGCCCACCAGAAAGAAAAAAGTATTGAAATATTAAATGAAGTTGGTCTAGTCCAGGCACTGAACAACACAGATTCCAACACAGTGGGAAACAGTATGCAACCATTGAAGTAAAAGCTGTAACATAATACAGACACAAGAGTGCCTGACTAAGCTTGTACTGACGACCATAATATTTGAAGTTCCTAAGGGCGTAACTTCATAATTTTAACCATTATTTTCACATAGGAATGTGGCAATACTTTTCAGACCATAATTTCCTACTTAAAAAAAACCACAACCCAAATTCCCTCCTTTGGTTCCATGTTGACATCCACATCATTATTGCCATAACTGGAACCTTTGGATCTACCACACAGAGCTCCGCCCCTTCAGCAGAAGGAGCAATTGATAGCAGAAGCAGGTTGCCACCCTGTATAGACAAAACACAACTAGGAAGTTTGTCTGTTGTAGTTTTCACTTGTAGATAAACTCATTTAAGACGCTAGAATGGGATGCAGTGCACACTTTGCTGATGAGTTTCATAGATATTTGCTGATGGCAAGTAATGATAAGACTCAGGTATTTTTGGGGAACCCATATTAACACCACATCCTCTGTAGAGACTTTAAAACTTTAGCAGTTAAAAACTGAAAAAGATTCCATCTTCTCCAAGCATGCTTGAGCATCTTGCATCACATGGCACTGATTCAAGCGTACGTGCATCCTTTTGCTCAGGAGTGCACATGTATCCCTACTTTGCCACACTAGGGTCATTGTCCAAGCTCCAGCTACCCCCCACCAAAAAAATAAGGGGGTACATGAGCTGAAACTTTGAGACAGAAGGGGTACACTTGTTAAAAATGTATGAAAACCCCTGCATTAGTACAATAAATATATTCTTTTTTTTATCATATTTGCAAAACAGCTTATCCTAGAAAATTCTTGACCGCATAACTGGAAAGATCATCTTCTTTATATACATGATAAAGTTCCATTCATTTCAGTTCATTTTATTAGTGGGCATCTCTTGTAACTATGCGTATGAATGCATACTCAGATTTGTTACTGAGGTCTTTTTCCTGTGAAATAATTCTTTATTTATAACTCACAAATGAAGGTTAACAATAAAAACCTTTATGCAAGTTATATAATAAAATCTAAGTAAATGAAGTTTAAGTGCTGAACACAGGACAACAGTCAGAAATGAAAAAGAAAAAACATTTCACATATTTTCTTACCTCTCAAAATTATAAAGATTTTAAAAAATCTTTTGTATCATTAAGAGGCTTTCTATGATTCTCTTGATACTGAGTATTTCAAATTGACACTAAGTAAGAAAACCAAACAGTTTAGTGAAAGTGCAAAAAGCAACATGATTTATGGTCCTAACTTCATACATGCATTGAAGGCAGAAGGGGCTGAAAAGATGGGCAAGGCAGCCTGAAACAGCAAATAAAGGAAGAATGCCTTGTATTTGTTTCTAGTGACCCTCTCTAGTCTTCCAAGGATTTCTCACAATCAGCTCCAAAGGGAAATTTGTTTAACATATTCTGGAATCCAGTTGATTGTGTCCATCCTTCTGGTAAAGAGAACACCAAGGCTAGCTCTGAGAGAGGGATTAAATGAGAGAAATCTACAAAAAGTCAACCTGGAACACAGCACGTGGCAATACTGTTCTTGCCCTCCTCACTTGAATTTTATCAGGAGAAACTAGCTTTAAATTTCTGAATTAGCACATTGTAGCAAGGCAGTCTGGCCCATTAATTGGGGCAGCTGGCCTTACTGGGAGCTCAGCTGTGAGTGATTAGTTGGCAATTAAAAGCCCAAGGAGCAGTTTATGAGCCGGAAGTAGACAGTTCTAGGAAGGGCCAGGGCTAAAGAACCTTCTCCTGGAAAAAGAATAAAGGTTTGTTTTACTCATTCACTTGTTTGTTTGGACCAAGGATTACTGTTTTGTGTTATAAGGACTGGATGAAGGCCTCCCAAGGGAGCAAAGACAAACAGTGAGGTTTCAGGCACACAAGCTTGCTTACGGACTGTTGTTTGCCCTGTCTGGAGTGTTGAAGGACTCCTAAGTGAGGAAAGCCCACTTACATGGTAACAAACCACTTACAGACATTTCCTGGCTGGAAAGCCCCTACCAGTTTTGAGACATACCCAGTCGACTCCAAATACAAAATGATGTCTACTGAAGGATTATGTCACTATGTTCACCTTTCCCATACTGTTTCTGGTATCAAGTGCCCCGTACTCCATTTGCATTGACACATGGATTCAATTCTGAGCCCGATTTGTAATTTAAAATACAATATATTTTGTAGGTATTGGGCAGCTAGAAAGAACAAAACTTTGAACTATAACATGAAAAATTAAATGAGCTCTTTTACCTTGGAACCAGTAAAACCAGGTAGGCCAGGAGCACCTATCGGGCCAGCTTCCCCCTGAAACAAAATGCAATCAACATTATTTTTCAGCATTCCTCATGACTGATCTGCAATTAAAATTAGAAATAACTCCCAATTTAAAGGCTCTTAACAGACTAATAATAAACCCCAATGAGAACCTTCCCAGCTAGGTTCACTGGCAGATGGAGACAGAAACCCAAAAGTAAGTAAAGAACCTGGAGACCTGGTTAAAAAAACTTAGCAAGAGAAAGCAATAACAGAAACTACAGCAATATTCTCCAGAAGAGGCTAGGACAGTCAAATACCTAAAACGTTTATATACTAATGTGAGAAGTAGGGGAAATAACTAAGAAGAATCCTAATACAAACACAAGATTATGATATAATTTGGGATTCCAGAGAAGTGGTGAGATAATTTACATAACTAGAGTGTGATCATGGATGGGTTTAACTTGTTCAGGAAGGACAGATAGGGAAAAAAGGAGGTCTTGCCCTACAAAAATAAAATGTACATGTGTATATGTATACAATGTACATTATGTTCAGTATTGCAACATGAAGTGGAAGATAAGCCTGGTAAAAGCCTCTGGGTAAAAGTAAGAAGGGAGAACAGTCTGGGATGTCACAGTGGGCATCTGCTACAAACCTCCAAACCAGCAGAAGTAGGTGGACAAGACCTTCTTTAAACAAGTGATGGAAGCTTCCAAATCATAGGATCTGGTTCTTATGGGGGGATTGAATTACTGAGACATCTGCTGGGAGGGAAACATAGAAGGTCACAAGCTGTTCTAAAAATGTATGGAGTATGTTGGAGGTACCTTTTGATGTAGATAGTAGACCGGCCAACTGTGGGGAAGCTCCTCTTAACCTGCTGCTCACAAATAGGGAGGAATTGGTTGCAGATGAGAAGGTTGAAGGTAACTTGGGTGATAGTGACCATAAAATTACAGAGTTCAAGATCCTAAGG